GACGAGTGCAAGTCATCAGGTACATGAGGCAACCCGCCAGCTCTGCATAGGGACCACTAGGCTCTACAGCATCCTATAAGACTTGGGCAGAGAGTCTGTGGTCTATTGGCAGAGGGGTGGGCTGTGCGGAAGAGAACTGAAGGCCGAACCTCTGAAGGACCTGGCGCACCAAGTGTGATTGTGTGAGAGTGATGGTGCGCGCTGCTATGTCCCTGGAGAAATGCAAGCCAAGGTTGCGACGCAGCTCTCCTAGGTCAGTGCAGGTGTGTCTCCTCAGCAGCTATGCCTTCCCGGCGGCCAGTGCGTCTTTGTCTGCAGTAGCAAACACCAGATCATCTACGTAGACAAGGATGTAGAACGGATTCTGGCTGGAACGGACAAAGAGCGAGGGGTCTGCGGACGAAGAGAAGAACTGCAAGTCGGCAGGTGCAGCACGCAGCGTGTCGTGCCACTCACGGGGCGCCTGTCGCAAGCCGTAGCCTGGGCGCCAGAGGAGCCACTCGGTGCCAGGGGGGAAGGTACCACAGAAGTCCTAGGGGCGACGCAGGTAGACTTGCTCGTGTAGACCGTCCTCGAGGAACGCTATGGTGATGTCGAAGGAGTGCAGCTCGTAGTCACGCTGAGCTGCTACGTGTAGCAAGACCCGAAGAGTGGTCATCTTCGGGGTCGGTACGAAGGTGTGAAAGAAGTCCACCCCCTCACGCTGACTGAAGCCTCAAGCGACGTAGTGCGCCTTAAAGATAGGCGGCTCTCTAGGAGGGCACTTCACATTGAAGAGCCACTGGCCATTGACTACGTTCACCCCAGGTGGGGGAACTGCATCGACGAAGGTACCGATGGATCTCCAAGATGCCATCTCATGCTCCATGGCAGCTATCCACTGAGAGGCCCAGGGTCCCGAGGTGGCCTCAGCGTAGGTGCGAGGGGTCGGGATGTCGAAAGCGTCTAGGTCACCCTCAAGGACTAGTAGCATGGAACAGAGATGGGGAGCGGCCTCAGACAAGAAAGCGAGCTCGAATTGCCTGTCCTCTAAGACATCATTGCTAAGAGCAGCCACACCCCCGACGGCCGGAGTGTAGGCAGGGTCAGAGACCGAAGCGGTTGCGTAGTCCACGCGGCGGGTAGCTCGGAAGTCAGTGACAGCAGTGACAAGAGCCGACAGACTCAAGACAGGAACGGACGGCTTGGTAACGAGAGGCAGGGACACGAGGAACAAGGGGAAGCGCAGCACGGAGGAAGTTTGAGAACACAGGAGGGGCCACAGCAAGCGACGACGGAGGAGGAGTCGGGAGGAGCAGAGGAGCATGAGACGCGTGGGATCAAAGCAACATAGGGTGAGAACGCGGAACAATGGAGGTAGGACGAGCACGAGACGGACGACGAGACTAGACGTGAGACGAAGGAGTCGGGTTAGGAGAGAGGGGAGGAGACACAGGAGGAGAACGGGGAGGGAAACAAGCCAAGGAGGAGTCCGGGGGAGGAAACACGGTGCCGTGGACCGGCAAAGGAGGAGGCGGTGGCAGCGGGGGAGGCAGCGATGGGCCGTCAGGGGAAGGGAGACCGAGGAGGCGAAGAGCGGACACTTGTGGCGGCAGCTCCGACTGCTGCTCGACTCCAACACCAGAACCTCCAGCGACAACACGGCTCCCTCCGAGAATCCCCACTCCAGCACCCCGAGAGCCCACTCCAGAACCAGCTCCAGTCCGCTCCCTTGCACCCCCTGAACGCACGAACCCCAGCGGCGGTGACGACGGCGGCTGCAGCTGCGGCGGCAGCGACGGAGGTGGCTGCGGCGGTGACAGCATCAGCGGCAATAGGGGAGGCGAGACCGGGGCAGGGACATGCGGGGGAAAAGACTCCGCGAGCCACGAGAGTCAGCGGACTCCTCAGCAGGGACAACTGACGGGAGGGGGGTGACATGAGACACACCGAACGTGGCAGGGCAGGGAGGGGTGTGGACAGGGTCGAACGGGGGAGGGGGGGCACCAGGTACTGGGGGGGAGTGACCGGGGGACCACGGTGGGGAAAACGATGGGAGAAGGAGACGGACTCGTCAAAAGTGATGTCACGAGAGTGAAAGAACCTGTGAGAAGCCGTTTGGTAGAACTGCCAGTCTGACGAGTCGAGGGGGAAACGTAGGAAGACCCAGGGGACAGTGTGGGCAGTGAGCTTGTCTGTGACAAAGACATGAACGTGAGAAAGTGTGAGAGTACAACCCCGTTCCAACTTTGTACCCTTGCAGCGCCCCGGTTGGGAGATCTCGGACGTCAATCTTTAGCTACCATCGAAAGGTCGAAACATGTCGAAACAATCGAGGCCGTCAAATTTTGATAGACTTTTTGTTGACCAAACGGGTAACGGACGAGAATGTCCCTAAAAGAGACGACTATTAGAAAATAGTTGTTTCGTCTCTCCCTGTCTAGGGGCCAAAACATTTTCATGCTCTGGCATCGTCGTCAGGACCCTTAAAAGTTTTGTAAATTTCTGTCTCGATTTTTGTTTTTTTACTCCGGTTGTACTCGTTGGACTCTGAGAAAATCAGACAAGCTTAGTTTTGGACTCTGACGTTTCAGAGTACTGAAATTTTGGCTGATTTTTTTTTTCTTCTTCTTCTTCTTCTTCTTCTTCCGGGGGGGCTGGTTTTGAGTGGCTTTTTTTCACCCCTGCTCCTTATATTATATTGACTTGCCTTGTGGCTCTTGTTCCAATGGCTGGACTAGTATTGCTGCCCTAGATTGCTGTTGTTTATTTTGTACTCTTGCTGACTGGTCCTCGGACCCTTGCCTCAGAGGTTGGACTAGTAATGCCATCCTGAGCTGCGTGTCTCGTACTAGTCGCTGTCAAACATATTTGTACATGTTATAATAGGCGAGATAGGAGATGGCTCGTGAAGGGGTACAACCCAGGTCCTTCAGAGGTTCGGTCTTCAGTGTTCGTTCGCACAGCCCACACCTCTGCCAGTAGACCACAGGCTCTCAGCCTTGATGCAGGCGCGGTCTCGTAGAGGTCCACTCGTTGTTCGTCAGTTGCACAGTCCAGCTGCGAGGCTGAGATCTACGTTGGTGCCATGGCGGCACAGGAGCTCCGCTGTCTGACGTTCTTGCACACAGACTTAGGTGAGCGGCCTAGCTCTGCTCCGGTCCTGTACGCTGACAATAGGGCCATGATCCTCCTGTGTCAGGAGCCTCGACTTGAGGGCAGAGCGAAGCACATCCAGCTGCGGTGCTTCCTCTTGCGCGAGCTACAGCAACGCTGCCAGGCCCGCGTAGTACACTTGGCCTCAGATGCCAACACAGCTGATATCTTTACTAAGACTTTTGCGCCTAAAGATCATCAGCGGCACTGTGTACAGCTTGGTCGAGTTCCTGTAGCTTCTCACTTGCTAGGACCCTGATTGTGTACTCCTTTTATATTCTCTTGACTGGCCTTGTGGCTCTTGTCCTAGTGGCTGGACTAGTAGTACCGCCCTGGGTTGCTCTTGTTTAGCTTGTACTCTTGCTGACTGGTCTTCGGACCCTTGCCTCAGTGGTTGGACAAGTAGTGCCACCCTGAGCTGTGTGTCTCTTTCTAGGCACTGCCCCTCAACTGGCCTAGAATATGTGTCAAACATATTTGTATATGAAATAATAGGCTAGATAGGTGCATGCTTTTAGAGGGTACTGTCAAACATGTTTGTATATGTTCTAATAGATTAGATAGGTGCATGCTTTTAGATGGTACAAACATTTGAACAAAACCAATTTGTATGCCTTATTTTAGTCACTTTTTCCTAATTTGAGATGGTATCACACGCTAGGTTAAGTCCTCCCTGCCCACCCGCGCTTCCCATCTTGTCCTAGCCCTAACCGCCTGTTCCTAGCCGTCCGTACCTAGCCGCCCGTTAGCGCCTCCTCGGCCCCATGCGCCCCTCTTGTCCCTCTCAGTCGGACGGCCCGTTAGTGCTACGCCGGCCGGTTAGCGCCTTCCCGACCCCGTAAGCGCCCTGTTGGCCCCGTGCGCCCCTCTAGCCCCGCTTGCCCCGCCAGCCCGTTAGCGCCCTCCTGTCCTGTTCGCGCCCCGCCAGCACGTTAGTGCCCTGCTGGCCCGTTAGCACCCCGCCGGCCCGTCAGAGCCCCACCGGCCCGTTAGCGTCGTGACGGCCCCGCTCGCGCCCCGTCGGCCTCGTGCGCCCCTCTAGCCCCGCTCGCCCCACCGGCCCGCCAGCGCCCCGCCGGCCTTAGTAGCGCCTCGTAGGTCCCGTGCGTCCTTCTTGCCTAGCTCGCCCCGCCCGCCTGTTCGCGCCCCGCCGGCCCCGTTGGCGCCCTACCGGCCCCGCCTACGCCCCATCGTCACATGCGCCCCGTCGGCCCTCGTCAGCCGGTCGGCCAGCCAGCCGCCCAGCCAGCCGGCTCCAGCCTCGCCCCCCCCCCCCCCCCCCCCCGTCAGCAGCCGCCCGCCGGACCGTCGAGTCCCAGCACCGACCCACCGGCTCTGGCTCCCTTCAGCGCCGGCTTCCCTGCCAGCTGTCTCCACCACTCTCCACCCCTCTCCACCGCACTCCACCGCACTCCACCGCACTCCATCGTGCTCCACCGTACTCCACCGCACTACATTGCACTCCACCGCACTCCACCGCACTACATTGCACTCCACCGCACTCCACCGCACTACACCGCACTCCACCCTCTTCACCGCTTCCTCCACCTGGCCTCCTCACTCTGTCAGCGACCGCCAGCAGTTGCAGCAGTGGCGATGGCGGAGTCACAGCTACGTCTGGACTCAGAGGGTCAGGTGCTCGATTTTGAGGCGGGGCTATTCGACCTTAGACGTCACCTTACAGGTCAGTTCTGTTGTGTGATGTCATCATATGCTATCACATACTGTCTGCCTCCCATCCCATGTTTTCAACTTGCATGTGTGGTTTGAACGTGTGCAAGAATTTGTGTGTGGTGTGTTATGGAGTTTGGGAATGTGTTTTGTATTATTTTTGTTTGAGCAGGTATTTTGTGATGATAGATCTTGAGAAGATCTTTCCGACGCAACAAGAATCACTTCAATCGGAGCAAGAACGCGAAAGCTATGAAGATTCAAAGTTCATGAGCTTGCGTTACAATTGCGGCGGTTACAAAGTGAAGTTGTGGGGTGACTCTATATGGAGTTGGGACCTTTGGGATTGGGGAAATTCGTCACTCTACTGTAACAGCTGCAAATTGGTTGGGAACAACCAAGCTAGGTTGGCAAGGGTGGCCAACTTGGATGGATTGGTTGGGAAGGGACAAATGTCAAAGTTGGGGTTCATATAGGGAGGGAATCTTTGTGCTTATGGGGTTTCCTTGGTTGGGGAATCCCTTGGGACCTTCCCTCTCATCTCTCTATTTCAATCCCAACCTTTCTCTTGCTCCTCCAATTCCTTGTGAGATTCTTGAACTTTGATTGAACTTTTGAGATTGAGTTAAGTTCTCCTCCTACAGCTTACTGCGTCGAAAGACATAGCGTCGCGAATACTCCATCCATCAACAAGATTCAAATTAGGAATGGTAGCTAAGATTACGAGCTACAACATATCCAAGTTTCGCGACATTCCAACGGCTAGTTTTTTGTCGACATCGTTTCTTGTGAAGACAACTTTTCTGTCCAGAATATATATTGAGTTATTCTAGCTCCTAAGTTCACCTAGACTCCGTCCTTAATCCTAACAAGTGGTATCAGAGCCATATTGAGCACATTGAGAGGAGTCTACAGAAGTGTGAAGACCCTTCTAGACCCACCATGGCCTGTGGGTGTGCCTAAGTGGTGTTCTAAAGGTTGGATGTGTCTTCCGCTAAGGGGAAACTCTGCCGAAATTTCGTGGACGCCGACACTTGTGAAGATATCGAGGGAAGCTGAGTGTGGACAGCAAAGGGGAGCTGAAATTCGTCAATTCTCAAGGAGAAGATGAATGAGAGGGGAGGAGACGCTAATGGAAGAGGAGCTGTACCTGAGAAGACAAGTGAGCCGCTGCCATCAAAAGTTGAAGCTCTGGATGGCTCCAACTATGAGGAATGGAGCGGGCGGATGAGGAGTGCCTTCCAACGCTACAAGCTACTGAAGATTGCTATTGGGGAGGAGAAGATGCCTGAAGAAGGCGAAGCACGTGAACGGTGGATTCAGAAGAGCGCGGTGCTCTTCGACCTCATCCTTCAATTGGTCAACAAGGAGATGTTCGAGCACATCAAGGATCTTGTGGAAGCAGATGATTCGGGTCCAAGGGCGTGGAAACTACTACGTGATGTGATTCAGCCCAACACTCTTCCGATGGTGATCGTGCTCGAGAAGCAACTTGCTGCCATCTCCATGCGACCAGGGGACGATGTGAAGCCGGTCCTTGACAAGATCAAGGACACCTATGCAAGGATGGCAGCAGCGGGCAGCAGTGTGTCTCAGCTGCAGCAGTGCACCAAAAACATCTCGGTGTTGGACAACTCTTGGGACAACCTCATCCCCACCCTCAACTCTCAGCAAGATCAATGGACACCTGAGTGGCTAAGGCAGCAGATTCTGCAGGAGGACTTCCGCAGACGCCATGTGGGAGGTGGTGCTTCCACTAAGACTGCTGAGGGGTATGGAGCTGCAGGGCGCGGCAGAGGAAGAGGGGGTTGGAGAGGCTGAGGCCGTGGGAGGAGCTTTGGCAGAGGTAGAGGTCGTGGTGACTATAATGAGGGGCATGGGAGCTCCAGTGGCAGGGGGAGTACCAGAATGAAGGGCACCTGCTGGTACTGCAAGAAGGTCGGGCATCCTTGGATCAAGTGCTTCAGCAGGCCGGAGGGATGGGCACCTCCAGGCATGAAGCTGCCCAGTGGTGAACGCGCGCAAGGTGGCGCTGTGCAAGGCTCAGGTGCACAAGGCTCAGGTGCACAAGGTTATGCCTATCCTGGGATGTTTCTCATGGTTGAGGATGTGCATGGGCATGAGGGTGATGTGGGATCTGTGGGAAAGGTTGTGATGCACCCTCTCACGTACTGGGTGATTGATTCAGGTTGCACCAGTCACATGACCCCACGGGCAGATTTGCTTGATGAGGTAAAACCCACTGGGAAGATTAAGTATGTGGCAGCAGCGTCAGGTGCTTTGCTCCCTGTGATTGGTGTTGGAAATGCCAAGGTTAAGGGAGCTAATGGGGAGCTTGTGGGGCTTGGAAATGTTCTGTTGGTTGAAGGTTTGTCTGCTAACCTTCTCTTTGTGCGGCGACTGCAGAAGAGCAAGGCCGAAGTGACCTTTGGACCAACCAGTTGCCGTGCTAAGCTTGGGAAGAAGGTGCTGTGGAGTCTGGAAGAGGAGACCAGCTGCATCAAGGACCTGTGGCAGCTGCCCATCATCCCTTGGAATGGGAAGACTCCAACAGCAGCAACGGCAGTAGCGGCAAAGGCAACAGCAGGAGGAGATGCAACTGCACCAACTGATGGGGTCTTGGAAGCAGTCAAGAAAGTGCAGCAGCAGCAGACACATGGTGAGGTGCATGCTGGTGTGGATGCGAGTGCGGCATGGGCTAAGGCTTCATCAAGGAGTGGTGAGGCCAATTGGGAGACATGGCATGAGAGGCTGTGTCATGTGAACTTCCCCATGCTGCAGAAGTTGGTGAAGGATGGAAGCCTGAAGGGCTTGGAGGTGAAAGGGGGAGTGAAGGAGATTGGGAGCTCCCCTACATGCTTGGAGACCAAGTTCTCCAAGTTCCCCTTCAATAGCACTACAGGACCAGCCAAGACCCCACTTGCACTTGTGCACATGGATGTGGTGGGGCCCACAAGAGCCCCTTCCCTCTCAGGCAGCCGCTATTTCTTGACAATTGTGGATGACCACACTTGGGCAGTGTGGGTTTACCCTTTGAAGAGCAAGGGGGAGGTGGCAGCGGCTGTCCTTACGGAGTGGATGCCTAGAGCTCAGAGGGAATGCGGACACAAGGTGAAGGTGATCCGCAGTGATAATGGTGGGGAGTTCATTGGAGCTGATTTTGAGGGGGATCCAACATCAACTGACAGTGCCCTACAACCCGCAGCAGAATGGCGTGGCTGAGAGGTTCAACAGGACCCTGCAGGAGGGGGCACGCACTGTCCTTGGGCGTGCAGGGCTGCCTGATCCGTTTTGGGTGTCTGCACTGAGGCAGGTCGCCCTTGTGAAGAACAGGGTGCTGGCTACAGTTGGGGATAAGGAGTGGATCCCGTATACCAAGTGGTATGGGAGTGCTCCTTTTGTGAACATGCTGAGGGCATTTGGATGCATGGTGGTTTTTCATGTGCCCAAAGAGAAAAGGGGGAAGTTGGAGGCTTCTGGAAGATGGGGTGTGCACTTGGGGATTGCAAAGGATCACAAGGGGTGGCTGCTATGGGACTTGACCACCCAGAAGCTGATTGTGTCAAGGGATGTGAAGTTTCTTGAGTCCCTGTACTACAAGGAATGGAAGCAGCAGCAATAGAAGCTTCCATCTACACCACTCATTGTTGAGGCAGATGAGGTGCAGTGGCCTTCAAGACAGGTGGAGGTTGCAGTGTCTGAGGAGGAGATGTCTGGGGTGACTGAGGAAGGGGGAGCAGCTGAAGTGGAGCAGCAGCAACAGCAGCATGAGTCTCCACCTCGATTTCCACACCCGCCTGAGCGACCTAGGAGGGATGTGCGCCCTTCGGTGAGGCTGACCTATGGGGGAAGAGGCAAGCCGAATGTTGTGCAGGCTGGGAGTGTGGTTGAGCAGATTGAGGAAGATGAGATCGCTCACTGCTACTGGGCACCAATCCCTGAGTCCAAGACTCGGGAGGAGGCCTTGAATGGACCAAATGGGGAGAAGTGGAAGGCGAGTGAGGATGAGGAGTTCGGGTCCCTGATTGAGAACGAGACATGGGACCTGTGTGACTTGCTTCTTGGGAAGAAGGCAATCACTTCCAAGATGATCTACAGGCACAAGTATGGACCTGAAGGGGAGCTGACCCGCTACAAGTCTAGGCTTGTGGCACGGGGGTTTCAGCAGACAAAGGGGAAGGACTATGATGAGGTGTTTGCTCCTGTGGGGAAAGGAACAACACTGAGGGTGCTGTTGGCGATAGCTGCACTCCTGGGATGGAAGATACGGCAGATGGACATTGTGACTGCCTTTCTGAATGGGATCATTCTGGAGGAGGTGTACATGAAGCAGCCAGAGGGGCTGGATGATGGGAGCGGCAGGGTCTGTAGGCTGAAGAAGGCCATCTATGGCCTTAAGCAGGCGCCTCGTGCATGGTATCACAAGTTGGAGGAGGCACTGCTGGCTGGGGGTTTCAAGAAGAGTGAGTGTGACCCCAGCCTGTTCCTGCTGCAGGAGAAGGATGAAATCCTCATGCTCTTGGTGTATATGGATGATATCCTTCTCTTTTCTGCATCAACTACTTTGCTGGACAGCGCAGAGAAGATGCTGGAGATGCAGTTCAAGTGTTCCAAGATGGGTGAGGTGAAGTACTACTTGGGGATGCATGTGGAGAGAGATGTGGAAAAGGGTGTGCTGAGGTTGCACCAGAGGAAGTACTGTGAGGGGCTGGCTGAGAAGTATGGGCTGCAAGATGGGGGAAAGCCAGCAACACCACTACCTTCGGGGTTTACTGTGGAGCCATGTGCTGATGAGGAGGTAGTGGGTGAGAGTGACAGGAAGCTGTTTCATTCGATGGTTGGGTCGCTGAATTATGCTGCAAATCATACATGGCCTGATATTGCATTTTCTACATCACGGTTGGCTAGTGTGGTCTCACGCCCTAGTCATGAGCAGCTGGAAGCGGCCAAGAGGCTGGTCCGCTATGTGAGCGCTACGGTGTCAGTGGGATTGGAGTACTGTGGAGTGAGGCAGCGGTTGCAGAGAGGTGCTGCAGATGTGAAGAGTGGAGAGATGCTCTTGAGTTGCTATACTGACGCTAGCTTCAACTCAGTGAAAGCGGATGGCACCAGCATTGGGGGTTATGTGTGCTTGCTAGGAGGTGGTGCTGTGAGCTGGCGCAGCAAGAAGCAGAATGAGGTGGGATTGTCCTCATGTGAGACTGAGTACATGGCCTTACACCATGGAGCCAAGGAAGTGGTGTGGCTGAGGCGCTTGTTAGAGGAGTTGGGAGTTGGTCAGAAGGAGTCGACGGTGATCTTCTGTGACAATGAGTCTGCAGTGAAGCTGGCCAAGAATGCTTGTCTGCATGGGCTGACAAAACACATAAGGCCTAAGTGGCATTGGGTGAGGAGACTCCTTGATAAAGAGGTGTGGCTAGAGATAGTGAAGACCCATCAGCAGCCAGCGGATATTTTCACTAAGCGTCTGGCAGAGGCGGATCATTGGAAGGGCATGAAGCTTGCTGGGATGAGTGTGCATTCAGTATGCATGCTTGAGATGTTGGTATGGTGGATGATGGTTGGCAGCCAGAGGGGGAGATTGTTGTGTGATGTCATCATATGCTATCACATACTGTCTGCCTCCCATCCCATGTTTTCAACTTGCATGTGTGGTTTGAACGTGTGCAAGAATTTGTGTGTGGTGTGTTATGGAGTTTGGGAATGTGTTTTGTATTATTTTTGTTTGAGCAGGTATTTTGTGATGATAGATCTTGAGAAGATCTTTCCGACGCAACAAGAATCGCCTCAATCGGAGCAAGAACGCGAAAGCCATGAAGATTCAAAGTTCATGAGCTTGCGTTACAATTGCGGCGGTTACAAAGTGAAGTTGTGGGGTGACTCTATATGGAGTTGGGACCTTTGGGGTTGGGGAAATTCGTCACTCTACTGTAACAGCTGCAAATTGGTTGGGAACAACCAAGCTAGGTTGGCAAGGGTGGCCAACTTGGATGGATTGGTTGGGAAGGGACAAATGTCAAAGTTGGGGTTCATATAGGGAGGGAATCTTTGTGCTTATGGGGTTTCCTTGGTTGGGGACTCTCTTGAAACCTTCCCTCTCATCTCTCTCTTTCAATCCCAACCTTTCTCTTGCTCCTCCAATTCCTTGTGAGATTCTTGAACTTTGATTGAACTTTTGAGATTGAGTTAAGTTCTCCTCCTACAGCTTACCCCCTAATGCGTCGAAAGCCATAGCGTCGTGAATACTTCATCAATCAACGTGATTCGAATTGGGAACGGTAGCTGAGACATTCCAACAGCTAGTTTTTCGTCGACGTCGTTTCTTGTAAAAACGACTTTTCTGTCCAGAATTTCGGATTTATATATTGAGTTATTCTAGCTCCTAAGTTCACCTAGACTCCGTCCTTAATCCTAACAAGTGCCAGGACGGTCACTCCCTGGCTGTCCATGTCGATGGCCTGCTTTCCCGCCCCCCTGCCCCTGCTGCCCTCCCTGATGCCCCCACCACTGCTGAGCGTGAGGCCTTTTCCGCTGCTGCGCTTGATTGTGCCGTCTGGGACTCGCACGACGCTGCCGCCCAGCTTGCTATCAGCCGTGCACTCCCGCTGTCTGAGCGTCCTCGCTTCACCACTGTAGCAAACGCTCAGGCCTTCCTAGATGCTGTCATTGCGCGCCATTCCACCCTCGCCACTGCCTCTATTGGACGCCTAATCCTTCCCATGCTATTTCTTGATCTTGCGTCCTTCCCCACTGTCCCCGACTTTGCCACGCACCTCCGCGCACTTGAGATGAGCTACCGCGCTGCTAGGACTGAGGCACACTGGGCTACCCTTTATCTTATTGGCAGGCGCCTCCCTGACCGCCTAGCCACAGCCCGCAACCACTTCCTTAGTCAGCACCCGGGTGACCTCACTCTCACCGCCTTTGTCACTGTCCTGTCTGAGATAAAGACCGGCTAGCGCAGTATCGCTCAGTCTAGCGGTACTGCGGCGGTACCTATCTTTCAGGGTTGTGCTCCCTCCCAGTGCGCTTACTCTGATATCTCTGCTGCTTTTGCTGAGACCGCTACTATGGCCTCAGCACAGAAGCGTCCGGGTAAGGGTCGCCGCACCAAAGGGGGGCGTGGTGGGGGGAAGGGGGGTGGCGGTGGGGAGGGTGGCGGCGATGAGGGCGGGGACGGTGGTTTTGATGAGGGGACCAAGGCTGGTGCCCCGGAGCAGCCGCAGCAGCAGTCATAGCCTCAGCAGCAACAGCAACAGCCTCAGCAGCCGCAGCCGCCGCTGCAGTCGGCGCGGCAGCAGCATTCGCTGTGGGGACCCCCGCCGCCATGGTGGGTTGGCGGCGCTCGCGGCGATGGTCGTGGGGGGGGTGGGCGCAGCTCGGTGTTGAGTGGCAGCTCTAGCGCGGTCACCTGCCAGTACCAGCTTCAGCCCGGCCCTCGCCGCGGCACTGTCTACCTCCGGACCGGCCACAACGCCGACCGCTGCTACCGCCGCCTGGACGACTTGTTCTGCCACCGCTTTGGTCTTGCGTCGGACCCTCCGGACTGGTATGTCCTGGCGCGCCATCGTGTGCTGGTCTTTGAGCTTGACATGGATCTGATTAGGAATGCTATGTCTGTCATGTATGCTGATGACTCTTGTGTGATTGGATCCTATTGCCCAGTGTTGCCTAGCACAGGTGTACCATCGTGTGTAGCCTAGGCTCCCCTACTATGTCAAGCGTAGGATCACCTGCCTTGTTTAGCCTAGGCTCCACACTAGCCCCTCCGCCGGCAACCGCTAGCGCTTCGCTCTCCTTCACACTCGACTCCGATGCCTATACCTACTTCTTCCGCAATCACACTTCCCTTACGCCGCTTGCCGCCCCTGCCACCGTCGCCCTTGCAGACCCCTCCTCCAGTCCGGTAGTTGCACGTAGCTCCACCACGCTTCCCTGTCCGGCGGCCCCCTCGGGCACTCTTACAGGCCTGCACATCCTCTCGTTCTCTAGGAACCTAGTTGGTGTCGGTTGTCTTAAGGACATCGGCATCACCACCATGTTCCCCGCACACGAGCGCTACGCTGTCTCTACCGAGACCACCTCACTTGCACCCCTTGCGATGTTCCCCTAGGACCCTGTGTCCGGCCTGTTTACGCTTGACACTACGCCCCCCCCCGATGAGGGCGTCCCCCCAGGTAGCCGCGGCTTGCTCTTGTCGGTCACTCACTCACCGTCGCTGCTGCGGCACCACCGCCTCGGTCACCCTACACTCCCACGGCTGCATTACATGTCCCAGCACGGTCTTGTCCTAGGTCTCCCTGCATCGCTCCCTTCCCTCCCTCCCTCGTCTGCGCCGCCATGCACACCCTACGTCAAGGGCCGGCTGTGCCATGCTCCTCACTCCTCCTCGCTTCGCCCTGCCACCGCGCCACTCCAAACCCTGCACTTGGACGACCGGGGTCCAGCACCCGTCCCTGGGCCACGTCGAGAGCGCTACTTCCTGGTGCTTGTCGACGACTACACTTGCTACACGACTGTGTATCCTCTGAAGCGGAAGGCCAATGTGACTGACGTTCTGATTCCATGGGTCGTAGCTGCGCGAGTCCGCCGAGGTCTCCCCATGCTGTGTCTCCACTCCGACTATGGCGGCAAGTTTGCCTCCAGTTGGCTTGGCTGGTTCTAACATGCGGAGGGCATCATCTAGTCGTACACCCTGCCGGACTCCCCACATCAGAATGGGGTCGCTGAGTGATGCATCGGCTTGGTCATGGAGGTGGCCCGTACCTCCATGATCCATACCGGTGCACCCCATTTTCTGTAGCCGTTCGCTGTTCGCTACGCCACTCACCAACTGAACCTGTGGCCCCACTCCCAGCGGCCGCAGGTTTCACCGACCCTCCTCTGGAACCAGGTCTCCTGGTGACGCGTTTGCGTTCCACGTCTGGGGATGCCTCGCTCACGTTCCTGCCTCTGGCACGGACAAGCTCACTGCCCGCACTGTCCCCCGTGTCTTCCTTGGTTTCCCCCTTGACTTGACTGACTGGCACTTTTACCACCCACCGTCTCACCGCTTCCTTCACTCGCGTGACGTCACTTTCGACGAGACTGTCTCCTTTTACCGTCGCTTTCCTCACCGAGGTCTCCCGATTTCCCCTCCTCTGTTTCTGGTTCCCACTCCCCCGGTAGCCCTTGCTCCCCTCCCTCCCTGTTCAACTCCGTTTGGCGCCTCTCACGTCACTCCTCTCATGCCCCGATGGGCTCGGGGGTGGCCCCGGTGCTGGAGAGGGTTCTTGCTCTGGGGGTGCATGCTCTGGGGGTGTTGGAGTGGAGTGTTCCAGCGATAGCTGCAGTGTAGCTGGTGGTCTAGGTGTCGCCATCGAGCAGCAGCAGCAGCAGACGCCGCCAGTGACCGCCTACCAGTGCCTCCCCCGCCGCCTCCTCCCCTTCCTGTCCACGGTCCTCTGTTTTCCATGCTGCTAGTCCCTGAGGGTGACCCAGACGCCTTTGAGATCCCGACCCCTCGCACTCACGCTGAGGCGACCTCAGGTACCTTGGCCTCTCAGTGGATAGCTGCCATGGAGTAGGAGATGGCATCTTGGAGATCCACCGGCACCTACGTCAACGTAGTTCCCCCACCTGGGGTGAATGTAGTCGATGGCCGGTGGCTCTTCAAGGTGGAGCGCCCTCCTGGAGAGACGCATGTGTTCAAGGCGCGCTATGTGGCTCGAGGCTTCAAACAGCGCGAGGAGGCGGACTTCTTTCAGACCTTTCCCCGACCCCGAAGATGACTACTCACATAGCAGCACATCATGACTACGAGCTCCACTCCTTCGACTTCTCCACTGCTTTTCTTCAGGGCAGCCTACACAAGCAGGTCTACCTGCACCATCCAGAGGGCTTTACCGGTACCTTCCCGCCTGGGACCCAGTGGCTCCTCCGGCGCCCGGTCTATGGACTTCAACAGGCGCCCCGCGAGTGGCACGACACGCTGCGCGCTACGCTAGCTGACCTGCAGTTCTTTCCGTCAACTGCAGACCCCTCGTTCTTCGTTCGTGTGGGCCAGACTCTGTTCTACATCTTTGTCTACATAGACGACCTGGTCTTCGCTACTGCAGACAGAGACGCACTTGCCTTCGTGAAGGCTGAGCTCCTGAGGAGGCACACCTGCACTGACCTAGGAGAGCTGCGCCGCTACCGTGGCTAGTAGATCACCAGGGACAGAGCAGCGTGCACCATCACTCTGACACAGTCACACTTGGTGCGCCAGGTCCTTCAGAGGTTCGGTCTCCAGTTTCCCTCTGCACTGCCTATACCTCTGCCAGTATACCACAAACTCTCCGCTCTTGTTCCTAAGGAGACAATAGAGCCCAGTGGTCCTTACGCAAAGATGGTGTCTTGCTTCATATACCAGATGACTTGCACTCGTCCAGATCTCGCATACCCTCTCAGCATCGTGGCTCACTTTGTGGCCACAGGCAGACACTGACCACAGCACTGGCCGGCCGCTAAGAGGGTTTTGCGTTATCTAGCAAGTACACCGGGTATGGGGCTAGTACTGGGAGGACGCATGCTATTGGGCACACTAGCGCTTCTTGGGCAGACAACGCTGAGACCCTCAGGTCCTCTCAGGGCTACTGCTTCAGCCTTGGTGCAGGCGTGCTCTCGTCGAGGTCCACCCATTCGTCGTCAGTTGCACAGTCCTGCTGCGAGGCTGAGATCTACGCTGGTGCCATGGCGGCATAGGAGCTCCGCTGGCTGACTTTCTTGCTCACAGACTTAGGTGAGCGGCCTAGCTTTGCCCAGTTCTGTACGCTGACAATATGGCAGGGCTTCATATTGGATTTTGAGGGGCTGTTGGCTTCAGGTGCCCCCAGAAGGAGCCTCCGTTTTTCAAGGTCTAGTTTTGGAAGTTGTAATTTTTTTAAGGGTATTTTTTTTTCAAATGCTGAATGATGAGGACTAAAGATTTTCAGAGCTGAAATGATAGGATTGAACCTTGGTAAATTTTTTGGGTGGGTAGGATTTTAACCTAGCACA